TGATAAGTCTATTTTTTCACATTGCATTATGATTAGTATATATTTTTTAATTTATAAACAATAGTTTGATCAAAGAATAAATAATGAAAAAGCAGAATGCATTAGAAGTCGGAATAAGTTTATTCAATTCAATTCGACTTTAAATTCGAGTTAACCGGTTTAAATAGTAAATCGGGTTTATAATAAATAATGGTATTAGTCGACTGTAAAACTCTAATAAATCAGGTTTAAAATTAAATTCGGTTTTATTATTGTGAAAATATATATTGCAATCAACACAATGTAAAAATTCAATCAAATTCAATCGTTTCCGACCCCTAGGTCTTTTTCAATTTATCTTTTATAAATACGTAATCGCTTTAAATTCACTTTATTGTGGATTTAGAATCAACTTAAGTTGGAACGGAATTCCAAATGTAGCCCAAGTTAATATGAAATTTAAAAGCAATCTAAGTTGATTCTAAATTTGATAATCGACAAATTTAATATCAAGTTGATTTTAAATTACAGCAGTGACCATTAATGTTAGACATATATTAAAACTGGTGAGAGATTATATCCATCACAATTGATTTGTGATTGATCACAGGCGAGAGGGATTCACGTTGGATCTCTGCTGTTATTTTAAATTCGATACTACAATGAATGTGTAATTGATTGACGTAACTGGTCATCATATCGTCATGATAAATTGTCAAAATAGAATACAAAGTTCTTTTTGTCCTTTAAAAAGCTCTATCCGATAACCGAATCCCAAGATTATCCATTTTACCTCATAATGAATTCTATGAATCGCTTTCCAAATATCTTATCAGCAAATCGGCTAATAGTCGACGTTAAACCTTTATAACACGTGAAGACCTCTGATTATCGTATTAAGGTTTTACAAGATCTAGCAAATACAAGCACAGCGATTGAAGGACACTTCCTTGTAAGGTTCTCGAAGTTTTGGAGAATGACACACATATAGGCTTGGATACAAATCAGCATTATTGAAATTACTAATGAGTTTCCAGAATTAGATAGTACAGTTGATATTGAACCTTCCTATAACGAACTCCGGATATAACGAACTCAAAAATTTGAAATTTCACAATAATTATGTATAAAATGTGCAATGATTAATTCTTAAGGAAACATAATAATTTTTTATCACAACCTTATTTTTTCTCAATGCACATAAGTGTTCAAGAAAACTTCCTCACAAGTATATAATATTAAATGCAAATGCAAAAACGCGTATGATAAAAATCATTGTAAATAAACCACTAATCATAGATGTAAAAACTTCATGTAATGCTTTTAAATTTAACTAATGAATAGACCTATTTTAAAGCGACTTAAATTCCAAAACAAAGTACTCGATGAAATAATTTGGAATACACTTAATTTTATTGTAAGTTGAATTGGAATTCTTTAACAACTCGGTCACATTTTAGAATTCTATTATAACCTATGTTTGTTTGGAATCAACCTAGGTACATTCTAAATCTACAATAATTCCATTCTAACGTACGACATATACATGGCCTTTATAAGTGCATCTTAGTGTTTTTAACATATGTTTCTTTGTAAATTGGAACGTGATCGATTTTTGATAAGCTTGTCAACTAAGTAACAAAGCAATCATTATTGCGAGATCAAGAGACTTTATTGTGTATTTAGTATCTAGCCTTTTATGAGTGTGTTCATAACAGTTTTTTAAGAATCTTATTGAATTCATATAATTACTTTTTAATTGGGTTTCTTAAAATGTCAATAAACTGGTAATAAAAAATAATGACTATCGCTATGGATTACATTATGCATGTGAATAGTAAGTGGAAGGGATAGTAGTCAAAAAAGTTACATTAGTTGTTCTTAGCAAGGCTGGAGAAATAATATAGCAGTGGCTTGTGTTAGAAGCTGTAAGTGACATTGATTTGTTGAATAATTTTCGACTTAGGCGTTGCTTGATCATTTCAAACTAGGGTTTGAAGAATTAGAGATTCATTATGATTACATTTTTTTAGACAATGACTGTTGCGCAATTTTAGGAGCTTTAGGATAGTGAACCTATTCCAACTTGTATTTTTCAATAAAGTTTCTGATCGAGCAATAATACAGGTTAATATACAATTTAATGTATTACAATTATTGCATAAGGTAGTCGCGCGGTGTTGTTACGCAAAACCAAGAGTATAATAGATGCGACCATCCAAGCTATTTTTTTAGAATGTGAATTGCGACTAAAATTAATGCCTATAAGAAATTGTTCGGTATTTATTTGCATTCAAATTAACTATTAAAATCGTTTCATTATTATTTTTATTTTTTCAGACAATCTCAAATCTGAAATTTAAGATTCTATGATGTTACTAATACAGTGAGACATCGAAAAAACTTCTAACTACAAACTAAAATTACAATGACAATTAAGAAAAAATAGTAGGTATAATAAAAAGGTAAATCCGTATAAAAAATATTTATTGCTTGATTTTAATTATATCATTTAGAAAAATTTGGCACGAAAAATTGAGGTTCGCAAATAGATCGAACCCAGTTGACTTATGCAAACGAAACATTGAAAAACTATTTAGAAATTTTGCAATCCACATAGTTGTTTGAAAGTAAAATCATTGTAAAAAATCGGTGCTCAATGTTATACATTTCGCCGGCATAATCGGTATTTGCAAATTATTGATAATTTATGAATGCTCAATATTTACATCTTTTTTTGCCGATTTTGTCTTTAATAGTGTTGTTTGACTTCAGTATCATAATCCATTAGGTACCAATAAGATTTTTTCTTCTCCACACTCTCAAATCAATTTCAGCTTCTATAATTTTTTTTTGTCTAATTTTCTCATGCGCTTTTCTATTAGCCCTTAATTGAACAGCTTTCCAATAAAGACTTTCTAAAAATTGCAAGACTTTGAAATCATCATTTTCACTAAAAGAATCACCGACAACTTTGATATGCATCAAACATTTAGGTTCACTATCAATATATTTTACTTTGATTTCAGGGTTAAATCTAACACGACGATTTGTCTGCCATGTTATTTGATCTTGATTCTGACAAAATATTTATAGAGAAACGTTTATATATTTCTGTTAGTTATTTACAAAAACACATAGAAAGTATAGTTATTTATCGTATTTACCGCGATATTTTGAACGAGCTCAATAGTATGTGACGATTCAATAAGTTGTTGCTGGACCTATTACAGTAAACGAAAGGGTTATCGGAGCAAAATCGTTAGATCGGTATGATTAAGTTTTCGTATGTAACTTAAGATTTTCACGATACTTGCTTCTTGACGTTGCCGAAGTTGTTGTGGTTGCTGTTGTAATTGCTGTTGTTGTGGTTGCTGTTGTAGTTGCTGTTGTAGTTGTTGCAGTTGTCGCTGCTGTTCCTGATGTTCTAAATGGCAGTTGATTACAAAGAAAATCGTGTGTAACAAGATAGTGACGAGTAACTAAAAAAAAAACATGGTATTAGTCAAAAACAATGCACGCGTTCATTCGTAATATTGTTTGGCTTCAATTTTTACTTACAGCAAAAGACATGGTTTAATTTCGGTTGAGTTTTAAAACATTGAGTTTGATCTGGTCTTCTGATATATTTGTTTGAGAGGTTCAGAACGATGAATATTTGTAAGTTCAAAACGACGAGACGATGGTCCGATATGAGGTTTGAACTTTTTATATGATTCAAAAAATTAATTTTTTAAAAAAACAATAGCTGTATGTAAATATAGAAGTCCGCCAATAAAAACCACGGCATAATATAGAGATTAGTGTCTTTATGACGTACCAGGTCTTGTAATCCTAATCTGGATAGTCAGCTTAAGTACATTGCTCGAACAGAGTGTCAAATCAACCGTATCAACCCGAAATAACGCCCCGGGGCGTTATTTCGAGAGGCTTAATTTAAACAAGTCAATAATTAAATTGACCAAAGATTTTTTTTTAAACTTTAATATTTATTTAATATTAAAGTTTTTTAAAAAAAATCTTTGCCTAAATTAATTATTGATTCGTTTTACAGTTACTTTCATAATTCCTGGAACGCCTGATAAAAATTGACCGAATGATGTTCCGGCCAGGGGTACCGAAAAATTAATTACAACTCAATTATTACGCAATTACCAATTAGTGATAGCAAATTAGCTATGTAGGAGTGATGAAACATTGTATGCGACAAATAAGAATTTGCTAATTAATTATATTAATTAATCTTTATTCGTCACGCAAATTATTTATCACGCCCAAAACTGTAATTAATTAATTTAATTGACTCATTGTGGCTGCGCTACCAATCAATTGTAATTAATTTCTATCACAATCAGTTATTCGGTAGGGGCAGGCCCGGCTCCGGCCGATTCTATTAAGTTTGTGATTCTTATAATAAAAACTATATATTTTTGTATCGTGATAATTTTAACATATCGTTATAACAATGTCGAATTTTTGTTCAACATGATTGATGTTTTTTTAATTTACTCAAAAATTTATAGAGAAAAAAGCTCTAGATGCACGTACATATTACATGAATTGACGCAAATATTTAAAAGGCAGTGTATAAGTTTATATATAAATAATATTACTTTTTTATTTGTACATCCAAGTTGATTTACAGCCTTCAAATTGTCATAAAACTAATTTTACATCTAATCAAAATCCAATTAAAGTTCCATCATGAATTGTAACACATACAAATATCATTCGCAGATTCCTAAAAGTGAAGAAAGTTTTCAATATATCCGTATTTTCTAAAGTTTTTTTCAATTACTGTATTTGTCAGTGAAGATGCGTGAAAGTATTATATTCATATTTCTTTATTCAACTAGAGATATAAACGTACGTCTATACATACTAAAGTTTTTGTAACATTTACATTGGTTATTGGATCTTATATTATACATATCAAAAATTTATTGAATCTATTATGCCGAAATCACAAACTTATTCGAATCAGTCAATTTTCCAGGAAGTATAAATGAAGTCCCTCGAAATAACGCCATAGGGCGTTATTTCGGGATGACACTGTACGATTTCCGATGATTCGATTAAACCAAAACTGAAATTGAATCACTAAACTTATATACTGTGTGATATATCATGTTTTTTTTTGCTGATAATATGTTTTTAATCAGAATTTTCGACTGATGAAAAATCAAGCCGGAAAATTGTCTTAATTAAACAGAAATCTGGCATTCTATAATAGGATTAGGATATTATGCAAATAAGTAGTTTCTATGATTTTGTGGCTTGCTTATCACGGCTTAAGGGTAGCGCAGTAAATTTAGATTTACATAGTAAGTAAAAATATGGTACTAATAAAATTTTTTAAAAACGTACCAAAATTTTATTAAATTTTTAGGATATATAAATTAAAATGATTTATTTATTATAATAAAAAATTATAATATATATTATTTTAAAAAAACTATACTTGTATATATCGTAAATGTCTCGGTGGTAAATCCAAATTCTCGGTGGTAACGTTCTGATTGGTTGATTATTATATGATTATCATATGATTTTTATAATAGATTTATAATACCAAATCTTTAAATAAACTTATCTCAACGAATTTTAATCCGAATTTAATAATTATACCATCATTAGAATCATAAAAATCTGCTTTACAATTTTTATTAAAAGCTTAAAAGCAGTTAAGTTAGTGAAAATATTTTTAAATACCAAAATAAAAATTTACGATTAAAGTCATATGACAAGTGATCTACGTGAACTCTACCTTTAATTTAGTACTTATGTGGGTGATACAAGCCAAAAGGAGAAATTAACCAATTGAAAAACGAAAATACATTTTTCAAAGCTCCTATTCGTTGAATTTCTGGCCAACCAAAAGAGTTTATTTGTTTATTCAACCAATCAACACCGGTTAGATCAGGGTTAATGTGAAAAATTGGAAAATAATCACTTATTGCTTTATCGTTATACTGTATTCTAAATCGGTGCGGCTAACTTTACTTATTTTACCAATAAGTTCATTTCTCTGACAGTTATTTCACCGAAGCTAATTTCACTGACAAATAATTCCGGTCATTGTCGTTAGGGTCAGATTAGAGTTAGAGTTAAGGTAAGCAGGATTTATAAAAAAAAAACTTATCAGTGAAACAAATATGTTACGTCTACAAAATGATGTGAGGCGTACTTAGTGATGTGCCATTTATATGATATCCGGATTTTTTTAGCGTACAGTACGTACAGTACGTATAGTGCGTATAGTATGTATAGCATGTGCAATATGTATAGTACACGTATGATATATAAACTATCTATATGCAAAATTTCGCAAGGAATAATTTTACTTAGAATACAAAAGGCGGTTTCATAAGGAAACTTTTGAGATATGAATGGTTTTATAATTTGTTCTAGAATATTCTAAAAAATTTTTTGCGTACAGTACTATACGCGGCACATCACTAGGCGTACTATTGTCATAGGTAAAACCATAGTAACCTCAATGCCAAATCGGTAATACTAATGGCGATCCACCTGAAACATATGCGCCAAGCCCCGATCGAGACCATACGATCGATGAAAAATTGTATGCCCCAACGTGGAAACCTACCACCCGACCAAAAAAGGAAAGGTCGATCGAGATTTACCCGTTCGCACAGTGACAGCTGGAATTGGATGTTAGCTCAATTTTGCCTTATTTGGATAAGTGTGGGGCAGTGGCAAAGGAGTGCGATTGTGGTAATAACATTTGGATTTGACCACGGGAAAATTGTCACTGAAACATTTCACTTTTGTTCTATTTCAATCGTGAAAAATGCTAAAGTGACGAAAGGCTGTGTATGAATGGGTTAAAGTTAGTACAAATAAGGTGAAACAGGGCTGGAATTCGATGTTAGTAAGGGAGAAAAGTTTCGGTCTTGTACTTGCTCTTCTTACGGTAATTTTGTTATAAATAGAGGTGGAATTTTCTCTTTTGTAAAAGTAAGAGAATGTGCCCCTACATAATAATCTCGTTAATAAAACCCCTTTAATCCACAAAACAATAAATGCTCTTTAAAAACCCTGTCCTTATCTAGTAACGCGCTCGAAAGTCACCTTAACCTGTGCCAAATCGTAACCGCCTCGTCTAAACTTTTGAGTGATGTTACGCGACAGCAACGAATTTGTAGCGACACTTCGTCGCATTTCTTCTATTCGTTGTTATGTACACTTCCGCCCCATTAACTCGTAACAACAGTTAGAGCACTTTTTTTTAAAAAAAATGAAAACCATAATAAAGTAAAAAACAGCTATATAGAAGATTCATTAGAGCTGTAGGACTTCATAGTCAAAAATAAGATCTAATTCTCGTCCCTCGTTCATTTAAAAAAATTGGCTTAGTTATAAGTTGATTTTATCAGGTTTTGAGAAGTTATTACTATACTACCTTTTTTAAATGGACGAGAGTTGAATCTTATTTTTGGCTATGGAGTTCTACAGCTCTTCTATACAGCTTCATTTTTTTATGATGATTAGTTTTCGTTTTTTAAAAAGTACTCTAAACTGTATAAATAATATATAAAATTAAATTGAATTTATTAGCCAATCAGACAAACTTTTGCCTATGACTCTGTGACAATTACCAAATCGAAAGTGTGTAAAGATCAGAATTTGGCGCAGGCTTAATTTACTTGCCATTCAATATTTAAATATACTCATAAATTTCGTACTGAAAACTTTTATTTAGAAGTCAAACTGAGGGGTCCACTAATTCCCCCAAGTTACTATTGGTCGTGTGTAAATCGCATTTCTAATAGGATAAAATTGACGATATTTAATTATGTGATCTACAGCGAATCAAACAGGTGTAACATAAAAATTGGGGGACGTCTAAAGAAGAGGCAACTAAAGTTTTTCGATTAACTTTAGGGTTATGGTCTCCTATATCAGGGTTAGTTTAGGTTTTAGGTGGTTATATATATGCAAAATTGCCTTCCCGGCATTTTTAATTAACCAATCCAAGACAGGTTTAGACTGCCATTTTTTGTATTTTTCGGGCTTTCGCTTTTATTTCTTGTTTTGCTTCGCCGGCGATCATCATATTCTATAATTTGATTGGCTGTTAATCACATGATTCGCCTCCGCTCCCATTTTTGCATATGTCTCGGACTGATCCAGGATTAATCAAATTTCATGATTTTAATTGGTAAAGTAACAGATGACTATCGGGTAATCTCGACTTTCATTGTCAAATTTTACATGAATCTAATAAAAGCTCATTTTTTGAAAATTGTTAAAATGGGCCCTTTTTAATTGGGAACACCCCCATATCATTATTAACTTTTTAAGGATAAAATGACATGTCCAGTCAATAGGAACTTGAGGGAAGTTAGTAAATCCCAAACTGAGGTCATCATGGTAAAATCATGTGTTATTTACGATTTTTCTGTTTTCTAAGTTTCGACATAACCTGTCACACCACTTTTTCGATACATCTAACATACCTATAGTAACCTACGACCTTATTGGTTAGTTTTAGGGTATGTTTACCGTACAGCGCTGCATATAGTACCCCCTTGAAGTAGTATCCCTTTTAA